AGTTAATATAATATTATGTTCTCTAACGCTTTATGCAACTTAACTGTCCGATACTACTATTTGGAACTGAGACTAATATGAAACAAAAAAATTTTAAATGATGGAGAAAAATTTATGGACTGTCAAAGCTTTTTACTATCTAAAAAATTCGTGCAATCTTATAGAATTTAACTCACCATATCCCTCTCTCAAATATCATAGAAAAAAATAATATCCTAAATTCATCTTTTTTACAACCCACAGAAAGAACAAGAAAAACCACAATGCTAAACTTTCAACTTTATCTCTCCAAAATACGCAAATCACACATATAAAAGAAAACAAAAACACGCCAATTGATCATGCAGGATCGCATTCAGTAAAAAATCTCCTTTCCAAATTGTGTAATTCTTTGGCACCATTTGTTCCCATAGAAAGCATGCACTACTAAGAAAAAATTATCCAAATCACTAGTGATTTCAATTCCTTTCAAACTGCAGACTTTTCATATTTTTCGTTTCGAAGTAGATGCTTATTAATTTCCATATTTTGAGGAAATTTTCTTAGCGATCCTAAGAGACGAGATTATATTGCAAAAGTAATGAATATAAACTCCCGCCATCCCATTTATACAGGTTGGTTATGTTTTTTACACGGATTAAGAAATTTTACTTAATGTTATTGAAAAAGTAATTGTCTAAACTTTTCTTATTTGCCCTTATTTAATTATCAACAACTAGTAGTAAATTGATTATATTTAGGCAAATTAAATAATGTCAGATTAATAAACAAACAAAACAAAACATTCTCAATAAATAAATAGGGTCATATAATTGGGATAAGAAAATGAGAAAAATCTGCATATATAAAAGGGACGGAAGAAGTAGTATATAACACGTTGGAGATGCATCGGAGTTGGAGAAGAAACGAACTAGAAAATCGGCAACAAGATGAACAAAACACGAACAAATCAGGATCAAACTTGATGGCTCGAACGCGTGATCGCTGTCTTCAAACTATATTTGCCCCCTCACGGATTGAAAATGATGCTTGAAGGTTTTCCGGCAACAAGTTTGAAGGATTAAACAAGCCTTGTAAAGTTTAAACACTCAAGCATTAAGTGCAATCCCCAAAACTTGAAGAACCTAAAAAAGGGTTTGAATATGTGAAGAAAATGTGAATTTTTTTGGTTTTGGAATGATCTTTTTGTTCTTAAATATGGTTATGATATTTGTGTGTTTTCAATAATGTTTTTAATGATCACAAATCACCTATATATAACCATGAAACATTAATATACGAAGTGGTGCCAAAAACCCTCCAAAAGCCACAAAAAATTTGAACAAAACTGTCACCAACGACTATATTGACCTTTTATGCGGTCGCATACTTTCGCATAGTTATCTCAACGGCAGGGATTAAATCCATGCCTTGACCTATGCAACCGCATAGACCAAAATTTGGCCTCCAAGAATGATTTTCATTCCACGTTCATTTTTTTATCAGTTTTGAATAATATTTTCTAACATAACATGCGTATTGTGAAATATTCTTTAGGATCATTATCACACATCGATATTCCCTTGGGTTAATTTACAATTTTTTTTCTTTTCAGATATTTTATATTACATCCCTGGAAAATAATATCATGCGCATTCATTTAGTGCTAAAATTTGACTTAAATATGTCGGCCATTTAAAATCTAATTAGTATTCCTATGTGGAAAGGAAATAGCAATTTCTTGACAAAGGCTTCCACCATTTTGGAATAGTATCGTTAGAAAATTATAAAATATATAATAGTGGCTGAGTCAGGAAGTAAGTTTAATGGGAGCACAAATTAATTAGGGTTCTCCTAGGGTTTTCATACGTTGAAAATGCAACATATATAATGTCATCATTTACAACTTTATCAAATACATCTTTTTGGATATAGACAACCAAACTATCATTCATCCATTAATCATGAATTTGATTGCGCCGTCAATTCTATTATAGAAAAATACCCATTTAAAAAATTTCTCAATAATTTTCTACCTGATAAACAAAGTAAATTCACTATACAAATAACTTGTAAGTTCTATCGAATTACAATCCTGAAATTGTCATTAAACAACTTGTGTAATTAAGCATGTCCACATCAAATTCAAAATCAAATCAAATAGGCCTAAATTAATTCTAACAATAACTACAGTTCTAACAAAGTAATAATACAAACTAAGCCCCTTTTTTTTTTTTTTTTTTGATAAAAGTTAATTAAATAAGGGGGTTGAAAATTTGATAAAAATTATGGATCCTATGAAATGTGTAGTTAAAATTAATTGTTGGCTTTGATTTATATTTTTATTTACCTTTTTAGTTGAACAAAATCAGGAATAAAAGTCTAAATTAAATGGATTAAGAAAGGGGAAAGCTAAAAATAAAAAAAATTACCCAAAGTTCTGTGGGTGCCAAGGACTCCACTAGCCGGCACATTCCATTCCTCCATTAATATGAAACAAGTGAGTTCTTATTTTGATATGTTACTTGACCAAGACTTCTACCAGTTCATTAATTATATTTGAACTAATTTCCACCAAATTTATCATTTTTTCTACATGCTCACTTTATAAATATACCTAAGTAAATTCTTCTCCTAATGTGCATAACGTCCTTCCTTCTAAATATGGACTCCTTCATATCAATCTCCATTTCCATTTTCATTCTCTCTCTTTATGCAATTTTATTCCATTGCACCAATGTAGCCACATTCGATATTCGTAACAATTGTCCGTTCACAGCCTGGGTTGCTGCCGTACGCCATGGAAGCAGATAGCTTCGCAGTGGCCAAACTTGGAGAATCAATGTTGATGCAGGCACTACAGCGGCTCGAATTTGGGCTTGAACATGTTGCAGCTTCGACAGGTCCGGTCGTGGTCGGTGTCAAACAAGGGACTGCAATGGACTGTATCAGTGTCAAGGCTATGGTGCACCACCTAACACCCTAGCCGAATATGCCCTCAACCAGTACAATAACTTGGACTTCTTCGATGTATCTCCTGTTGACGATTCAACGTGCCAATGGAATTTAGTCTCACCTCCAACGGTTGCAGCCAGTGAATCCACTGCATCGCCGACATCAATGGTCAATGCCCAAATGAGTTGTGAGCACCTGGTGGCTGCAACAACGCATGCACGGTGTTTAAGAGCGACCAATATTGTTGCAATACCGAGAGCTGTTCAAAGACAAACTATTCTAGGTTCTTTAAGGACAGGTGCCGCGATGCATATAGTTACCCTAAAAATGATCAAACCAGCACATTTACTTGTCCAGGAGGAGCCAATTATCGAGTGGTCTTTTGCCCTCGAAGACACCATTTAACTGTAATAAAATAACGAAAAATAATTATAACAAATAATTTGAGTTCTTCTACGGAAGACTCAACTTGGCTTGAATAAAGTGCAAATACTATAAGGTTTTCAGATAAATATAAAATAAAAATCTGTTAAGAAAAACTTGTATCCATGTCTATTCTATATGAAGAAATATCTTTCAGTTTGTTTGGAAAGGGAATTAAAATTTATTCTCGAAAAGGCTTTATGCCTCGAAAGATCCTTTCTTTTTTATTGAGGATAATAGGTATATAGCAAAGGATATCGTGAATGTGAATATAGAACCAAAAAACTAGGGAAAAGCACAAGGATGTGCATATATCGTGAATGCCTCGAATGTGAATATAGCATGTTTGGCTTAGCTTAAAAGCACAAGGATGTGGTGTTTGGATGACATCTGGGGAAAGTCCATTTAAAGGTTGTTTTACGTGAAACCTTATTTCCAATTATTTGGACTTCGTTTGACTGAGACCTTGTTGAGGAGTCAAGAATTAAAATATTTCACCTGGCTGCATGGGAAGAATTTATTGAAAGAATTTCAAAAAAAAAAAAAA